ATTTCAGGTTATGTTTCAATAAGTTAACTTATTTGGTTGGCATTTTCTTTTTTTTAATCAAAAATTTTAGTTACAAAATGCTACCAATATTAATATGAGCCAGGTTAAAAAATCAGTTCCTTCTGATATGAAAGTATTAAAAAAATTTAACCTCAAACTAAACAGCAGCAGCTATTGGTACTCAGTATTGCTGGACCAGGCAATCCTGATCAGGAAACTCAACTAGTAGTCTTTCATAGAACATGTGCTAAACCGTTGCTGGGTTTTACTATGTAGCCCAGGCTGGCTCCTCAGCAGCCTTCAGACACTGGCATTGCAGACACACACCAAGGCCAGCCAAGCCATTGCTTTTTGACTGAAATGCAGTAACTAGTATTTAAAGCATTAGTGTTGCAAATACCAGGTATATAACCTCCATATTTAATACTTATTCAAAAACACACTGGCTTCTTGTAATACGAGTAGTGTTGTTGGACTTTTACATTGCTCTCAAACAGCAGGCGTTAACAATATGCTACAGAGGGAGACTCATACATCTACCTATTAATAACACAAGTGTGCGAGTCTCCTGTTCACTCCCATTTTGTCCTTACTCCCAGCTCCACCCCCACCTTGCACTTCATGTCTGCACCTGTTTGGACAAACACAAATGGGAAGGTGTTTTAGGATGTGAAGCCAATAACCCATCCCTCTCCTTTGCCCTGATCTGTGAAAACGACACACGTGTATTTATTTTCTAAGCTTCTTACTTCCAGTCATAACAAAGTAATGATCATCATCTTCTTTTTTCTTGGCAGGTTTTTTATCACCACCGTCTGTTCCTTTACCAGATGAAGGTGGTTTCCTGGTGGAAGCCAGTGGTTTGCCACCTTTGGGAGGCCCTTTAGCCGAATACTGGCCCGTGGTGGCAGTCTGTGCTGACTTTGGTACGGCTTCTGTCTTGGCAGCAGACTGAGGAACACTCACAGTGGACAGTGGGGTTCGGCCAGGAGACTTTGAAGAGCCAGGTCCTGTCTTCTGGTGTGTACTTTTACTCTGAGGATGCTTCTTGGCAACTGAAGCTGTATTCTTATCTTTCAATTCCTGTGTAGCTTTTGCAGAAGAAACTGAAGATACAGACACTGGATGACTGAAGGCTGACTGAAGTTTTTGTGCTGGGATTGCCCCTGATTGTAGCGCTTTATCAGATGGCTGACATCGTGTCTCTAGGTCCATGGCTGTGGTTTTAGAATTGGGTTTTGTCACCTTCGCAGGAGACTGGAAACGAGAAGCATCAGGCCTTACGTGCACATTTGCTTTAGGTAGCTTTGGACACTTTGATGATGAATTTAGAGGTGACTCATTTCTGGAAGAAATATGATTGCATTTCAAAGACTTTGGATCGATTTTCCCAGACTTACTTGGCAAAAGTCTAGATTTCGACAGATCTCTTGCATTCTGGGCTGGGACAGCCTTGGCCTTAGCAGTACTGGAGAATGTGACACATTTTCTCACTGACTCAGATGCACAGAGTGCAGGGTTTGATGAAGCTGCTGAAGCGCTTTTACCCGCTGGATTTGAAGAGGCCAGGGAAGACGGGACACTGCTGGAAGGAGCGTGCGGCTTTTTTGCTGTGGCCTTCAGAGACGTAAGCCTCAGGTGAGAAGCCACTGTTGGAGATTCTAGAGGTCTGGAGTGCACTGATAGGGAGCCTGGATTACCTTTTACTGAAGATGCTGGGGGGAGTGTGCCTGGTGGACGTACCTGCTTTTCCTTGCTCTTTGGAACACTGACTGGTGTACCAGGTTTTACGTTTTGTCTCTGAAACATGTTAACTGCTGACAAAGGGTTCATTTCCGGAGGCTGAGGTGTTCTGGCAGGTGAGTCAGGTACACTTTCAGTTGAAATTCCTTTTTGAAATGCTAAAATTTTTTGTTCTAGTGTAGCAAACTGCAGTATTCGACAGGGATCATATTTAAGCAAAAATCCTTGCAGAGTATCCCAGCCTCCACCAACACGGACCATGACGTGTTTTCCATGAAGCATCTGCCCCCAACCGAAAATAAAACAACTGTGAGGTTTATAGTTACGATTTGTTGCCAGTCACGTTTTAATTTTCCTGACCCATGAAGGGCTTCATTTCAAATTGAGTCTCTTTCTTGTATAAACATAATAAACTTGGTAACTATTAGACTATACAACTAGCACTAAAAACCCTCCACTTTGCAATTAAAATAGTTACATATAATTTTAATTCCGAAAATTCGAGCTATTAATATAGAAAACTCAACACTGTTCAGTGAATTGAACACTGAAGAAATGAGAGAAAGAAGAGAAAGAAATGGGAACAGAAAAAAAAAGGCCTCATGATAGAGAAAAAAATAATTAGGGAAGAAAAAAATTATTCCGTTTTAGACTTTCTAATTTAAAAAGCTATTTTCCTATGTGTTCTCTCAGTTTCATCTTTAAAACACTTATATAAATCATTTTTAGTTTGTCATTGCACAGGAAATTGGCTCTGAGAGATTAAGGAATTGGGAGCTGGCCTCAAACGCACTGGGCTTCCCCTAGCCCAGGTGACACTTCTGTGGGGAAAAGGCAAGCCCTCCGCCACAGCAGCCCAGGCTGGAGTTCAGGCTCTTTTCCACTCAGCTGGTAGATCGTCACAACTGCATGTGATGGCTGCAACACATTCTGTGCTTCTAAATAACAACAGTGATCAATAGAAAAATTTAAAAAGAGAGCTAATTAAACTTGGAAAGTAGGTGTGGGTATCTCTAGAATGTAATGCTATTGTATGAAACAGAAGAAAATATTTGTATTATTATATCACATTTCCAAATTGAGAGGGGGATAAAAAAAAAAGCTTCTTGCATACATTGTATCCAAAGTGGAATGAATGCTGAACAGTGGAACTTTTAATTTCCTTATCAGGAAAAGGGACAATACATCAACAGCAGATGGGGACAAAGAAAGGCAGTGGACATGGACACAGCATACTGTCCGTGCACTCAGGGAAAGATCCTGTGACTAAGGCTAAAGGATCCTAGAAACTGTAATATTCTGCTTATCTCCTTACGTGAATGTTTACTCTTTCTAGATGCTCTGTTTTTCTCTTTTCTTCTTATGATGATGATATAAAATTACTCTATTTTAGAAAATGTCAAAATCGCAGTAAATTATTTGGGATACATGAAGATTTCTTTTCCCTCAGTTACATCTAGTATCTAAATAGTCTCAGCTGAATTCTAGTTCGTTGCTTGCCGTGTTAAAAGCATTTACTTAAACTCACTTAATACACAAACTCAAGCACCACATTCTTCCTGTGCAGTGAAATTCTCCATTACTAGCACCCTCTGTTCCAATTTTTAAAAGGTAAAACGGGAGCAAAAGGAGGTTGGTAAAATAATAAACCCAATTCCAAAATAAAATTTGTATGTATACAGACTATAAATAGCAGACTTACCCTTATAAACAGTATTTTATCCCCTAGTCGGTACCGTCCTTCAGATAAGTACTCGATTGAAAATCGATGAGAACAGCTACAGGGGGGGTCTTCAGCAATATGCTTAACCTAAGAGCAAAAAGAAATATCAATGTTCAGTGCTCATCAAAGTATTTTATGGGGCTGAAGAGGCGGTTCAGTGGTTAAGAGCACTAGCTGCTCTAGGAGAGGACCTGGGTCCAGTTCCCAGCACCCACATGGTAGCTAACAACCACCTGTAACTCTAATTTCAGGGGACCTGATGCCCTCTTTTGGCTTCTGCAGGCATTGCAACCACATAGTACATTTATATCCATGCAGACAAAACACTCATACACATAAAAATACAATTTTTTTAATTTATAAAGAAAAGGTATTTTGTTAAAAGCTAAAATGCAATGTTATTTGATAAGAAAACAAATCTCAAAGATGAAATTTAAAAGAAGTTCAACTATTTAATATCTCTTCTGCCTTTCTTGTTAACAGATGGTGGGATCAGATATTGCTAAACTAGAGACAGTCAACAATGAGGAGGTCACTTTGCCCAAGAGAAATCAGGCTGGAAGCCATAAACATTGAAGGAGGGCTGAAAACAGGTAAGACATTGAAGTCAATTCAAAACACATTTATTGGGGCTGGAGAGATGGCTCAGCAATTAAGAGCACTGGCTATTGTTGCAGAGGACCTGGGTTCAGGTCCCAGCACCCACATTCTCCAGTCAGGGGATCCCAACCCCCTCTTCTGGTATCCAGGGGCACTGCATGCACAGCTCTGCTTACACAAATGTGGGTAAAACACTATACACATAAAATAAAAATAAATAATTTTAAAGTAAAAGACAAAACACATTTACTGAATTTTAGGAAACATGAGATGTTCATTAAGCTTGACTTGCTTTAAGCCCTGAATAAACATATTTGTGTCAAACCAAGAATTGTCTAGTCAGATAAAGGCTAAATAGTCTTTTTCACTTTTTCCTTAGGACTACCCCAAACTAATATTGTGGGGAATGGTCAGATTTGTTCAGTTACTGCTAAATTAAGCAAAGATATATTCATATCTATATGCCCATGATTTGGTAAGATTCTAAAATTTTCAATTCAAGAATCATTTTTCTAAAAGTATTTGTTCCATTTCAATCATCTCCTAAAGAAATGGAAGGAAAAACTTAACTTCTAACCCTCACAATTTTTTTTACTCTTTTAAGAATTCCATAGGAGTATAGAATGTATTTGATCATACCCATCCCTCCTCCCCTCCTCCCCTCCTCCCCAATTCCAACTCCTCCACTCCTCCAGACACTTCCCATGTCCTCTCCCAACTTCCTGTTTTCATTTAAAAAAAAAAAAACCACTGAGAGATATGAGAGATGTTGGAGGGGAGGGAGTGGGCAAGGGTTTGATCAAAACACCTTATATGCATGCATGAAATTCTCACTTTAAAAAAAATAAAAAAATGAAAAGTAAGAAAAATGTTTTCCAGAATGTATATGTTCACTAAATATAGATATTTATTGAATATTCAGAATCATGAATAAAGAAGTACAAATAAATTTGTTTACTTTGAAAAAAAAAACAAGAAAACCCCACTGAGATCAATTAGTGCTACATACACACACACTGTGTGTGTGTGTGTGTGTGTGTGTGTGTGTGTGTGTGTGTGTGTGTGTAGGCCATCCACTGGGGCATGGACAACTCCCTTTCCCTCCCTCAACAGTCATCAACTGCCAACTGCTTCACAGTTAGGGTGGACACCTGTGAGCTCATCCCCTGTCCATGCAGGGACAGTGACTGGCTTGATCTTGCTGTGTAGATCTTGTGCAGCAACACAACTGCTTTGAGTTCACGAGTTTATCAGCCCTGTCATATACAGAAGATACTACTTCACAGCAGTCCTCCCCAACCTCCTGCTCTTGCAATCTTTCCACCCCCACACTTTCTTAATGTTCCCTGAGCCTTGCTGAAAGAGTGCCTCACAAATATTTTTGAATTAAAAATAATAGAATTACAGTAGCTATAAGAAGAAATTAAAATAAATTGATTAAGTTAGGTATATTTTGAAATATATTTAAGTAAAAATATTATGGATCAGCCATTATGACAAATACAGGACTTTCCCCTAAAATTACATTTTAAAATAAAGCCATTGCTGGGGGGATTACTATACCAGATTTTAAGCTCTACTAAAGAGCTATAGTCATAAAAACAATATGGTACTGGCACAAAAATAGACCCACAGACCAATGGAACAAAATTGAAGACCCAAATATGAGTAATTGCAATTTTAGCCACCTGATATTTGACAAAGGGGCCAAGAACATTAACTGGAGGAAAGACAGCATGTTCAGCAAATGGTGCTGGCAAAACTGGATCTCCACCTGTAGAAGAATGAATCTAAACCCCTATTTTTCACCCTGCACAAAAGTCAATTCCAAACGGCTCAAAGACCTCAATGTAAAGCCCAAAACTCTGAAACTCTTAGAAGAAAACATTGGGAAAAA